TGAAGATAAAATGGCATTCAGTGCCGCTCTTGAATAAAATATCGCCATGTAACTAGAGGCCAATATTATAAAAATCTACTTGTGATTAAAATAGTGCTCTTTGTCGTTTCGAGGAAGTTATTTTGAAGAAAGTTCGCTTAGAATCACGGAGCAGGAAAAAACGCGTGCTGCCTGTCAGGCGCTACGTCATATATCAATCGAAGCTATGTTTGTACCAAGCAAATTTTGATTGTTTGCCAGCTCATCATGAACATCTTTCCTTGAAATTTCCAAGAGGTTCTTTTTCAGGTTTCCAACGTTAATTGACTCCTCAGATTGGCACAAGTATTTAAACATAGCTTCACTTGGGCTCAGATGAGCAGAGATCCCACACTGCTTTTTTATTTTAGCATCTACTTTGCAGTAGTCTGCAAGATGTTCCCAACGTTTTGCCAATGATGGAGCACTTCTGAACTTTGGATAGATTGATCTATCCAAATAGAGGGAGAGCAGATCCATGATGAGTTCCTTTCTGAGGATTAATTTTTCTACATATGAACCTGAAAATGACAATTAGAAAAATTAAAAGTATTCATACCTTAAATTCAACAAAAAGCAAACTTTAAGAAAAGAACAGGAAAAACATAACAAAACAAAATTTAGGTACCCCGAAAGGACATGTAGTTACTGTTTAAACATGTTACAGGGAAATTTGAGTGGGTATGTTGGTGCCAACTTCAAATCTTTTCTAAAATGTGATATTGAATCAAAGAGTATTAATTTAAGCTTTAATCAAAACATTTCTTGACTGGAGGCTGGAATTTTTTTTTTACTGAGAGAAATTATAAAGACTTGAAGCAGTGGATGCCATTAGTTGATATATAGTCACAGAAAATAGTCATATAGTCACAGAAAAAGATTAATCAGCCAATATTAGGCTTTGACTGTTTTCATGGCTTTAGCACCACATGAGCAATGTCCAGTGTCAACTCAAAATTTTGTTTCATTGGAATGTGGTATTTATGCAACCATGTATGCTAAGTGTAAATGGAGGGAAGCATTTAATCAAAATTTGTGTGTTTTTTGTGAAAATCAATTAAAAAAAACTTTATTAGTCCTTCTTGGGAGACTGCTCCAAATGTTTCTGAGAAATCTCTCTTTAACTTACCTTCTTACCCAATAGCATAATGTGGTTACAGGTTTTTCAGATGCCAGTAACCACAAAAAAGATTTTTGGGCATGTGTGTCTTTATCCGTTTCTGATAGTCTCCTATGCAGCATTATTTGGGTTTGCCATGTTATGCATGACTCTTAGTGGGAACTTTCTAAAGAATGACTACAAAGTGGACTGCGCGTAAATTACCTGCATAGACATGTTCCTTCTCTGTGGAGACCTCATCAGTTTGCATTGATGCAATTCTATCCATCCCATGCTGGGAATTGCTGTGTCTCTCTCGAAGAGTTGGCTTGTGCTCAGCGGGGGTGGGATCCATAACTGTCTTAGAAAAAGGAGTACCTATATTACAAGCAAAAAGAATGTAAAGCACTCAAAAATAAGAACAAAGATTGGGTTTTTCATTACATCATTATTATTTTTGGAAGGTTTAGTCTTTGGTCGAAGGTGCTAAGATCACCAGGCTTAGTCTCAAATCCAAAACAAAAAAGAATATTTATTACTAAATTACCTCTGGATGGAAAATATACTTTTTCAGACCATTTGTCAAATTCCCATTTTCCAAAGCTGATTTTGGCCATGGTACTTTAGAGAATTAGTATTTTTAGATTTGTCGATATAAGGTGGTAAAAAGACAGCAGAAATAATAAACTATTGAGTTTCAATATTTTAGCCATGTGATCATCTGTGTCATTTTGAACCTGAACAACATTTTCCTCCTTGGACTGGATAAGGGCCATCTACACAAATGCTACTTCTAGATGTTGATAAAAAAAAGAAATTATCAAAGTATTGACAACTTTCTACCTTCATCACCACGCAAACAATCAGGGTCAGAGAATTGATCATGATGAGAATTTTGGGTTGCTAATGTGCGAATCCTGGTCTGTGATGTGGGATTTTGTGTAGCATCTTCATTGGCGTAATTATCCACTTGGGGATCTTGTTCTGCAATGTCATACAATATTGTTTTAACTACATACTTCAAACCTGAACCTTTGTTGATTACATATTTTTACGGAACGAGTACTTGTGAGTCTGAACTTGATTTATTTTATTAAGCATCAAAGGCTCATGTGAATTGGCAGATTATGGGGTTGGAGGAAAAAAGGCCACAGGAATTAGCAACATTAAGAACCATCATTGAATGTGAAAACTATTGGTATCTCAGTGAAGTTTTTGCATACAGATCATAGCTGCTTTCAAGAGGTACAATGAAGAAGCACACAGAGGGTTGAATATTTACTATCTTGTCTTAACGGTATGTGACCCCTCTCACTGAGTGACCTATTAGGTCTTTCTTGGCCTCTCATTGGTGGCTTGTGGTTCACTACATAACCTCTTGATTGGAGGTTTGATTTGAGTGCTTTGCTGTTTCTCACCATCAATTTCACTCTCTTGCACAGCTGAACATTCTTCAGCCTGATGTTGGTGTTTGCGTAACTGAGGTTTTTCCTCCTCACCATCCCCACAACCTCTTGGTTGTCCTTGGTTGTTCGCAGCATTGTCCTCTTGTGTCTCATTTTCAGGAAAATTTGCATTGTTGCAAAAAGCTTGTACAGGTGAATGGGATTGACAAAGTAAAATTACTTTCTGTTGGTGACATTTGCAACAAAAATTGTTTGCATTATGCATTTTATAGTCCTCCTGTGGATGAAAGTTCTAATATCCTCTCAAGGAAGTTATTTCATAAGATTTCTTAATAATTATCATGTGAAATTTGTATGTGATGCAAACATAACTCAAATTCTTACTATAATGAACAGCTTTGGTTTGACAGACTCTAAATATGAGGTCAGTAACAGAGAGAGATAAAAATTTTACATTCAAGGGAAAAAAAAAGCAAATGAGATATTTTCATGGTGATTTTAAGGAGGCATGTTTTGCGTGTGTGTGGTTTTGCTATTTTATTTTTTTGTCTTCACATAAAACTATGCTGGGTTTATCCCAAGTAAAATCCGGTTTAACCAGCGTTCACGTGGCTTATATAGGATACATCACTTGTGTCATCAAGACTTTTGTAACTTGGGATTGCAAGTTAAATGTGCCGATCCTAAGATGTAAAGTCATGATCAAAAGTTTCTTATATGCTGTCATTAGTTACAAACTCTCCATTTCCAGTTATTTTGTCATGATCACAAATTATTAACTTATGTTTGTAAGTATTAGTTATTAAGTTGCATTCATGATGTAGTAATAAGTTACTAAATAGCAATTAGAAGTCATGTGAAATTATTTTGATTAGACAAAATTTCTATAAGACCAAGGAAACCTGGCTGAAGTTTCAGAAAAGCTAGGAAAGTTGGGGCTGGAGCAAGGTGCTTGATAAAGTAACAACAGAAGCCACTAAGAAAAGTGAAAGAATTGGATTTTAAAAGGTGTTTGTTGTGGCAGGTCAGACAAGGTTAGATAATATTGAAAAAAGACATTCTTACTCTGTCTTTCATATTCTTGGCACTCTGATGTTTTGGGCGTTTCTCTTTCCAGCTGACCTTCTGCCTGATCTTTACCATATTTACCTGAACTTTCAAGGTTGTCTTCCTTTAAGAACAAGTTTCCTTCAGGCTGGTTTGGATTATTATTAAATGAACCACTGACAGGATGTTGTTGATTGGAATCTTCAAAGTTGTTAAATGTAAATAAAAATTACATCACACTGATAATCCAAAAAAAAATCAGAACAGCTAAACCTGTGCGACGAAGTACTCTGTGCGTATTTTCTGTTAACTACTCCTATGTACCAATTTTACTTTATAGGGTCACTTTCTCAGTCAAAATTTCCATTATTTGCCCATTGCAAACATCCATGTGGTTGCATTACAAGAAATACTTCACACATGGGAGAATTAAAATTACAAAAAAAAAACCTTAAAAACTGGATCCTTTAACTTTTAAAATATGTCATGGATATGAAGATTGGATTGTGTAATATCAATAAATGGATAAACTGGTTCTTTACGAGGCAAGGAAAGGTTATTTCTGTTTCTTACACACATGGCTCATCTTGTACTGAAATCGTGAAAACTATGCCATTGTTACTAGGCATTTAACATGGGAAAAGTTATCCAAATGATCAGAAGTATTTCTGAGTCACTTAATAACTTCAAAATGTTGGTTGTGCATGTTGAATTCGATGGTTTGTAAGTTTACTCTTGAAATGTAAAAGCATTTGTGTTAGCTCATTCAATGTCCCATTCAGTGTCTCACCTAATATACACCCCAGGCTGCAAACTAAGTTAGATCAACTTAGTTAGATTGATCAGAGCAAGGTGCTTTGGGATCTTCATACTGCACACGAGCACCGGGGTGTTAATCTTGCTTCAAAAGACAAGGTGTCGAAGGTAATTCTATAATCAAATGAAGAATACTTACCAAGCAAGTTTTGGGGGAAAAATAATGGACAAATATCTCCCTTGTCGTCGAAGGCCAACAATCCTACGCCGCACTCGCTTTTGTCGAGGATGATTGCACCCTTTGGAATTTCATTCGGCTGAAAATCTTTCAAATTTTTTAGTTTAACTTCGTTTCTCTTGGATTCCAAAAAATAAGATCCATGATCATCTACGCAGAAGAGGTAACGCTTCCGAGAAAACTGGTCGGTTAGCACGTCACAGTAGAGCTCATCTTGTTTCGCATCAGCTCTATCAAACTGTGACTCTTTCTCCTCTTGACTACAAGATAGGGAACGTTTGGACTGGAATTCGTTATCTCGCCAGCCTGAAAGAGTTTTCTGCTCGTGCAAATATTCTGTTGGTATCAGGATTAACTTGGTGTTGCCATCAGAAACTGGGACTTCATAAAATGCATCATCCTCTATGCTGTAACACTCGTCGGTTTTGAACATACC